GTTAGAATGTCGTTTTACAAAACAGATTATAAAAACAGTGACTTTAGCTTTGTAGCTGAAGTTAGTTTGATAAGAAAACTTCACTGCTTCTTTCAAGCTGTAAAGCATTATCATTGGAGTACAGAAGGTGGCGGGGTTTTGTTGTGATCGTCTCTCGTATTTGGAAATATCTCCAATCTCTTTCCATAAATGGAGCGAATGGCCTCGGCTGGTGCGTCCTATAAGACCCTACAGGATTGTTTTTGCTCTTGTGTACGTTGAGTGTTTAAGTCAGTTTCTTAGTTAAAGTTTGATTAAGACGTGTAAATACTTTTTTCAAATATATTATACATGATATATCCGTGGAAGGGATATGTAGTTCTACATTACCTTTTGGAATGAAGGATTTTAGTTTTATTTCAATAGGCATTTACTAACAGTAAACTACAACACTTTTCAAAGAGTTGTCCACGAATTAGACAATTACAGTAGTTTTATTTATCAAAACACCTTTGCTACCTTGCTAAAACTAAAAGCACAGAGCTCTCCTTATTCGATAATACCCCCGCCGCAGCAAACCTGCAGACTAAGCAAATTTCCATTTGACTGATTGGATTTACACTGAAATGTCTACTTAAAAATATAACATTTATTCCCTATTTAAATATAATTATTTTAACAAGTACTTAGGTTTGTACTTAGGTTTGCTGCATCAGGGAGGGTAAAACTGTTTTTTTTTTGTAAAATTTTAATAGTTAGTAAGAAATAAAAACATTTTCCAAATTTGATCAAAATATGTTCATAAACAAGCAAACTACAACAGTTTACTTATTCTCCATAAGAATAACATGGGAATTTTAAATTTACTATTTTTTGGAATTTTCTCCGTAACCATTAGGCGCATAATAACGCTTCAATATACTAAATTATTTGTTTTTTTAAGCTCTACAAAATGGTTTGGAAAGAAATTGCTAAATTTTATGTTTTTTGGGTCAAAAATGGGAAAAACCTATTTTTACCCCATAAAACCCCCCGTAAACCCCCGTTCTCATGGTCCGATCATGCTGGATCGCGAACTCGTTCGAATAAACGTAGGTTTACACGTTTGTACCAAATTTCATCAAAATCGGATCATTTTTGCTCGAGTTATCGTGCTGACGGACACATATATATATATATATATATATAAATATATAAATATATATATATATATATATATATATATATATATATGAATTTGAACGGATGGTGTTTTTGGCCTCTAGGGACCTCAAAACTAAAAAAAAAATCGGTCCCGCGTCCAGGTCTTACCATGAGTACTACGGTAATAGCTTATTCCCTATATGGGAAATTCGCTAAAAACAAAAGATTCGTTCAAGTAAGTATTTGATTTCTGAACGAATGTTTACATTGTTTAGAGTTTTATTAAAATTGACGTAGTTGAATCCACCACTGTTGTAAATGAGCGATTTCTATTAGCCTAAACATACGGACTTCAACCAACTCAAACTGATTGGAAGGTTTATTGTCTCTTTAAGTATAAAAGATTTGTTTCTTGCTGCCATGTGGTTAACGAATTATACATTTACATATATTTGAAATACAATATACTATATAAAATGCTGGTAATACATAAAGATATCTCATTTAAATAATCAATAACTACGATTGATATGTTTCCTGGTAAGTGTGTTGTAACTGTTTCTTTTAGTAGATTTTACAAACAGATTTATTCTTTTCTGCATTCTCACCCCGTAGCGAAGCACGGGTAGAGCTACTAGTAATCTGTACAAGCTTTTATGCTACGTCAACTATCTCAATAACAAATACTTAAGGTAGAAAGTTGAACTTTAAACACAAGCACACTATGCGACTCAACTATCTATGTCTTTTTTAATACAAGAAATGGCGACAGTTAGTCCATATAGATGGGATTTTTACTTCAGCATCCAAAAGTCAATTACCACGTATTTCCTGCCTGACTACTCTGTTGGCAATCTTAATTTTTTGTTACACTTCGCAAGCGTCTTTTCAACGAATGACTGAATGAAACTTCACCATGACCCGGCCGTTATCACTAGAGTGAGATAATGATAGTGAGTGTCACTATTTGTAGACTCTTATCACTGCCCGACCATAACAAACAATGTATTTCACTGGCTTTTAATTTAGAATAATTTATTGGTGTGACGTAAATAATTTTAACACGAATCATATGTTTTCGATGCGTTTAATGAGAACATGTATGGTGTTGTGAAAATTGAAGTTATATGTATTGTCCCGATGTGTGGGCTGCACTCGAGTTTTGCTGATGTAAACACGACTTGCTCTCCAATTCGATACTAAACCTAATGGTGACCATATGGCATAATACACTATCTCGCAGCCATGCAATCATACAGTTGTACGCCCAATATGTGCTATCTGTTAGATAATGTGACAATTATCTGTAATTGTTCACGTTACGTGGACGAACAAATGTAATTGTCAAAGTAAATTTGAGTCGTCTGTATGACGAAAGGTTTTATATAAACAAATCTAAAAGGTTACTAAGTATTGTGTAAGATCCAAAATTATCTCTTTATGCTCTAAAAATCTCTTATCTTTGGCCATGCTCCTTCTATTTGATATTGACTTTGGTATAAATTAGGTACTAATATAAGATAACCTTACATTGGAAAGTATAGAATACTGTATAGGCCTACTGTAATTACTCAACTGGACGCATCCATGATGTTTATAACTATTCAACAAGCTAAAGACTAAATTATAGGCAGCTGTTATTGGGCGAACGAAGAAACAAGAAACTGTAATGTTTTTAAGTAAATATAGTAAAATATTTTCTCACTGATATCGTGGGCATCGAAAATAGCGTTATCGTGATAAGGTTTACAGAAAATCAAAATTTACAATAATATAAAATACAATTTTAACGTGGGAATTGGATTTCCAGTTATGTCAATAATCAATGATAATAGGTTATTGGTAGGTAATAGGTAATTCTTCCATAAGAGTTGTATTAAACGGCGAGGTTCGTATGGGCGACAGAGCGTATAGCGTGGTACAGGCGGAGGTGTTACGGTAGAGAAAGAGAAAGAGAGGTGTTACCGACAGACAGACAGACAGACTCTGAGTCACTTCCGGTGTTCGACAGGTCACTGACCTTGCCACGAGGTCAAGGTCACCTGGAACCACTTTTACGACCTTGGGGTTCCTCCTCAACTTCCTACCACTTGGAACATGGAATTGGAATTATGAACCGGAATAGAAACTGGCTGCTAAGTGCAACTGTGGAGTAACTCAGTACAATCCTAAAAATCAAAATCGTTCTTAAAAGCGTCTTAAAAAAGTGGTATCCGCTTGGATTACTGTATAAACAATAACGTAGGCCCAACCTAGTTTCAATCGTATAATCTATGGTACCGTATCTCCCGAGGATAGACAACGGGTTAACAAACCTAGTTAGCTTTGTAACATTTATAATTTTTAAATTTACTGTATGAAAGTGTAAAATTGATAGTAATTTGAGAACATTCGAAAATGAATGCAAAGTTTAGTTCAATTAGCACGGCTATCAGGTGAATCAGTCAAGTGTTTGATTCATAATATTTGGGCCAAATACCCCTTCGTGTGTTATAGTGTTGTTAAATATTTAAAACAAACTAAATGTATACCAAATCGCTTCAGGAAATGTTTCATTGATGTCAAGCAATCTATAAATAACAGAGAATGTATGAATGAACACCGGTGTGTTTATTTGAGCAGGTTTATTAAATTTTCTAATTAATTGATTCGGGAGTGTTTTGATGCTATAATTAGTGAATGATATGAGTGGTAGCCATAGAACATAAACCCCGCTTTAATTGTTCAGGAATCTGGTTTTTATTATTGGAAGTATAAAACCATAAAATAAATTATCATTGATTAGTTTAATAGCGCAGGAGTTGTCATATTATGATTTATTAAGTCTATATAGCCATGGAAAAAAATAAACACCGGATGGTTTAATTGAGACGGAATTGTTTCACTGTTATAATAGGTAGTATCATTGACTATTAACCATAGAATAAGTAAACATTTTTTGCCTTAATTGAGGCGAAGTTACCTTAGTTCGTTGTTTATAACAATAAAAAATAAACATCTTTTTGGAATTAATCCCGTATCTTACCATTATTAATGGTAAACGTGTTTAAATTTCATAATAAACACCCGATGGTTTATTTATTCTCTGCTACAACCACTATGAACGGCGATACACAGTGTATAGTGAAGGGTGTAGCAGTGTCTGCGACCCAAGGTAGGCAATCTCCACATGTACCTATTTTGCATACCTGGCGCCTTGCGGCTTGCGTCACGTCGTCGCGACGGTTTGACCGAGTTTTTAATCAACTAAAAAGTTTGTAAATAATATTTTTTTCATATATAAAAATAAATATTTTAATTATAAGCTTTTTGCCTAGTTGTGCCAATAAAATCGAAGCGAAATGCTTTGATTCAAGAGTTATACAATAAATACAAAACACGAAGGGGGGTATGTTTAATATTATACGAGTGCACCGACTGATATGGCTTTGCATTATTTAATTATTACCTAAAAAATGTAGTAAGGTTTCTACACCCAACTACGAAAATTCAATGTACATTAAAACTCTCATTTGATCAACATCTTTATCTCAGTTTGCATATAGAGAAAAACAAAATCGACATACAAACTTCATAGTATTTTTCTATAAAAATCATTTAAATGGAAAAATCTAAGAAAATATAAATAAAACACCTGCTAAAAATTACTTTCCTGAGACGTTTCCACAAAAACTCAGCTTCATTATCCAAATAGATATTTAATCCTTCAGAAAATCCCATGGATTAATTCTTCAAGTTTATCCGTTTTTAACTCCCCCTCAAAGTCTCGCTGAAACCCATCAGTGAACTGTCGTTCTTGTCAGGATATTTTAACATCCCTCATTATTATTCGGCAATCAAGTTAAAAGGGTGTTAATTTGTCGGTTTCACAGTGTGGCTCGGTGGATTATCTAGGTAACATCGCCAGTTGGTCGGATGATAAAGGAGATAAAAGCCACAATATTCTCCTCCCTGGCCACTCCGAAGCAGACCATGGGACTAGCAGGGCTACAGGTAGGTTTGGATACTGATGTACAATTGCCGTTGTTATGTGTATGTCTGGAGAAGCTCACTGATATCGACGAAATGCCTTACTTTAATTTTATGTGGGGTTTTATAGTTTGCGCTGTACTTGTGATAGAAAAATACAGTTGTTAATGTAATAGCTTGATTTAGCGTTACTTCTAATAGTAAAATAATAAAACTTAGTAAACTAATTGGAAATAAGCAAAAAATATTTTACCGGGCATAAATATACCTTTTTTCAACTGATTCATAAGGATAAAAAATCCATAGGAAGCAGCGACCACTTTAAGAAGTACCAATGTTCAAAAATCCATAAGAACATAGGGTTCAAGCTGTAATGTTTATTTGATTGTATCACTTCCACTGCGGTTTCTGTATAAGGTATATTTCAACAATATAGATGTTTCGTGTTCTTAAATATCTCAAGTCTTATTTACTTACATACTTAATAGGAAACAATAATAACGTACCTCTGTAATAAAGAAGAGGTTTGTAAAAACTTATTATTTATCGCATATAAAGAAAATTCATCAGAATGCTGGATTTTGGACCATAAGAAAGTATGATGTAATTTAACTTTTTTTTGCGGAAATATAACTTTTCTATAAGTTTAACATGACGTAAAATTTAAACACATGTATAAATAATTATGTAATAATTATACGCACAATTAACATTCAAATCCTTGTTTTTAATTCGTAATTTGTTTCTCAGATTTGATTTTGTCTACAGAGGCATTATACAGTATAGATTCCCCGCATTTTTAAATACTTGTAAATTTAAATTAAAAGAATTTTGTATGGTCCTAACTAATTTTGATGCGCTTGCCAAAAAGTATGTCTGAAATGTATAATAAGTTATATATCTCGATTCTCTTATGATCTCATATACCACACCATGTACATTTATGTTTCAAAATATCTCAACGTTTTATAATTTAAATTAGTGATCCAACGAAGAATCAATATACACAATATACACAATATATACACAATATATATTGTAAATGGCAAAACTGATTGGTTAGAATATCGTGCTTTTTCAAGTTTAAATACACTTTGTGCTAAATTTATTTGTGTCTAAAATGTATACAATAGTTTTGTATGAAATTAATACCTTGAAGATATATACACTTTTCATAATAAAGCAACAGTAATGTGAAATGAAGCTGTGTGAAGCGGTTTTCACCTTTTTACAAACGTGCTGCAATAGTGTGTAAGGTTTATTTTCGCATGCACCTTACTGACACATGCAGTACAGATAGTTCTATACCGCATTTTCAGAGTGTAGAAAATACTGGAACGGTCTTCAAAAGTGATGGGGCCCCGGCTCTCGGATCTGGTGCAACAATAACAATAACACATGAAACCAACAACAACTATGCTGAAATCACAACACAAAAACAACAGATATCATAGGGCTTACAATTGCACAAAAAAAAATATTTAACACATATACAGACGAAGCAAATAGATTTTAAAGTGAGGTAGGTATAATAATGACACATAATAATGATGATGAAACCTAGCAAGACACTCGCCAAAGCTTTTGAATGTTAACGTTTTTTAATCTAAGACGCACTAGACTGCTATATTCCTGTATAATATGGTCTGTTGGATTAAAGTACATACCAGTTTCTAGCTAAATAATATTATTACCTTTCATAGACCCCCGTAAATGTAAAAAAATGGAAGCAAGCTCACAAAGCTACCTTTTAACGATTAAATATAATAATTGTAATATTTATTTTCATATTCACTTCAATATTTGAACAGTTATTAGACTTGATAAAACTAGCAGACTTTCAGTGATATTGAATATAAAAAAAAAAATAGTACGATTATACTGTATTGTATCTTTGGTATTAATATATAGATATGTAACAAATATTTTAATTGAGGTTAACTCATACATCGTCTTGTATCAGCTTATTACTTTTACGATTTTAGGTTAACCTAGATTAAGTATTTACTAAGTATTTAACATAAACAATTTAGGGTAGCTAGGTTTGTAGCTCGCACTCAGATATGAAGATACAATAAATTGTAAATATTTCCGTCAGGTGAATTTAATTTACGAAAAATTAAGAAACAAAAATATAAATACGGTACACATCAGTTATTAAATCATTAGAATACATTAGACATACTTTGGAATCAATTATTGTCATTGTCCCACATTTTTAAATCATGCATCAACGATAGAATCACTGATAACCTTGAAATTGTGTAATAGATCATCTACACGCAAACGACGGACTTTTTATAGTACACAATATCGCGTTGCGACAGGTTGGTCACACTGTCGTGACGCAGCGAGAAGAACAAGAACAAGAAGTGCCGCCTTGATCACGTTGATGCATCTAAAAATAAATCAAGGTCGTGCAACAATCAAGCCTATACATAGCCACTGCCTTATTTATTGCAGTTTCATTGTTGAGGCGGAGCTTCCTGTACTCAATAGTTTCCGCCGAGTTAAATTAGTTTTGTTGTCATTTTTCATTAATGTTGTGTGAGAGGAGTAGAACGAATCGGACGCGTTGCAGAAAGTCAACAGTCCCGGAAGGTCAAATAATTTATACCTGTGCCGCTAGGTTAAAAACTACAATGTTTGCAGTGTCTGTAGATCAAAAATCCCAGTAAGTCAAATAGTACAGTCCGAGCTAAAAACGTGGTATATGTTAAAGCAATTGACTTATTGGGAATTTGACCTAATGCAACAGCAGTTTTAATATAACGAAATAAGATAAAATATAAGTTCAGTTTCGCTGAGTCAACAGTGCCGGAAGGTCAAAAGTATAATCTGTTAAAAACAACGATAGTCCTCTCGACGCATGACTTCAATAATTTCGCGTTTTGGTGTACTTAAAGTTGTGCTAAAATTTTGAAAATTGGCACAGAGCTTCTTGGTTAGTCCTACTCGATGACTATTTTGTTGAAACTTTAAACTATTTACCGATCTAATTAATACAAATTGATATGTATGGTGAAATAGTTTTTAAATCGTGATTTCTAACATGAAAAAGTTAGCATGCGAGATTTTTTGTTTGTTTTTGGGTTAGAGAGGATTTGTCTGTGGCAAATTTGTAGCCAAAAGTGTGTTGCGTAAAATATATTTTTTTGAATTTTTTACAATTAGTGGTTCAATAGATAACTTGGGTTGAAGAGGACGGCAAATTTAGCATTTCGCAACGCATGGAAAGAACTACATCGGACGATGCGACTGCTGATTGGACTTTTAATTTACAGTTCTAAGAACAAGAAAAAGATGAATATACAGATCACCAGTACATTCATATTATTTATAAAACATCTTTCTGTATTACCAGCTTACATTTTTCACTTAAAAGAATACATCATAAACAGGGTGTTATAAAAATAAGCGAGGAGATACTTTACCTAGTAATTCCTTGGGTCAAAATAAACAGAAAATCAAGGATAACATTTTTTCCAAAATCGTTTCGTTAACCAGATATCCACCATTTTGTATTTTTTACATACAAATATTTATCTTTGCACTTTTCCAACCGATGTTTATGAAACTTGGTATGTATGTTAAAATAGGAGAGACCCATGTTATAAAAAAAGATTCATCTCGATTCACCCTAAAATTTCAAAATTTAACACTTAACTACAATATAATATACTTTACTACACCACAATATCTACGTATCACCATAAATCTTTAACAAAATAAAACGTTAACATTTTTAAAATCCAAAGTAAATCAATATAATCTTTCTTTTTTGAAAAATATATTTAAAAAAAGGCGATGGTAAAATAACGACAGGCGAGTTTCGATCTGGGTGTTTCAGGTTTGAATCTAGGAGGATTTAACATTAATTAGGTAACATTAATGTTTAATCCTCCTAGGTTTGAACTGATTGAGAGGAATACATGAAACCGAAGGGGGGAGGTAGCAACAAGTGCACTAGTATTTACTAGTGTCCAATTACAATTTCATGGATTTAACCAAAACCTTTTCTATTTCACTTATTTTCAGCTGTTAAATTTCAAACGATACGTTTTAGCAACATCATTAACGTTATTATCATCATCATCGTTTGAGTTTGGGTTTGCGGCAATGTATTTTTATGAATAAAACCTTTAATTTGATACCAAACTTGACCTCTGCTGCTATTAATTGACTGTATGCACTATTAATTAACAGCTGTGTCTAAGGATTATGTCGGCCTTAGTCACAAACAGGACAACAAGATCGCTCCACTCATCCCACACTCATCTCCATTCATACTTGGCTTAAAATGCATACATTTGTATGGTCGCCATTTCAAAGCAACATGGCTACATTATCAATGACAAACGTGGAAAACCTTATACGAGTGTGAGTAAGTCCGAAAACAGAGTAAGTCCGAAAACAACTCTAAAAAACAATAAGCAATAAATTGCAAGAACCGTTGCTTATATCATTGGGTATACAACTGACGTGTATACTCAATGCTTATATCGAACGAATGTACATCGTGAGAATTTCCATTAGTTGTTCCATTTAGTTGTGTGTCCATTAGTATAATAGTTTAGTTGACTCTTTTAAAGTCAGCGGAAATTGTGATAATTTAATCCATTTTACCAAACAATAAAAATTAATGGACAAAGTACTGTATTTCATGAGCAATCATTGAAAGGGCCGATTGAAGTCCTCATCAACCAAAAGAATGCCTACTAAAGCAAATAAAATTGAGACGAACATGTAATGCACGAAATCAGGTGGTTCTTAATAGTCCAGGCAACGAATGCTAAAAAAAGGGTATAGAGGGAAATGTTTGGAACACAATTTCTGACTTCGTAACTTTGTTTAGTATAGTTATGAGGTTAACATACCAAAAGTCCCCGCCTCTAGCCCTTGTGCTGTGGGGGAGAGGGGGGCTTGAAGGTACAATTTTTCAGTTTTTTGCTGATATCTCGGAAACCATGCGTCCAAGCGAAATTATGCTAATATACAAAATGAAAGCTTATTAAATTTCCAGCAAGTTTGTAATTTACTGTTTTTCGATATCTTGTATAGTTTTCGCGTTATTTGCTATCAAAAGTTTGTAAATTTGGAAAAATACATTTTTTTCTCATGTGTTTTGTTCTTTTTGACAAGTTGCCTCTCAAACAATGCACCCAAAAAATAAATGCTGGGCATAGGGTTGTAGAAAATTAAATTCCCTTCAATAATATATATGACTTTACTAGTTTACCTCCTTCCGTTCAGATTTTAAAGCAAATTAACCGTCAGTATAAAAAAAATTAAATTTAAATAAAATTTAAGAAAACTAATATCTAGTATTGAGCAAGGAATTTGAAGTCTTGCAACAGCTGTTGACTACTTAATATTTCAATTTATCACCTTACACAGTCAACTAATTGGTTGGAACATTCACTATCTAGTAGCTAAGGTGAGTGATGGGCGTCTAAAAATAGTACAGACACCCTATAGAAAATGTATACTTGTGGGCTGCCTAACCAGCTTCCTCACACTTGATGATCTAGCTAGACTATTGTAATGGGAAAATATGGTGTTGTAACCATGTTTATGCATATGACTGTCTATATGACACTGGAGACCAATCACAACCAGAAAATTGAAACCAAGACAATTGACATATTTAAGTAGGAATTAACATAAAACATTACATCTTAGCCTACTATTGAATCAATTCAGCCTTGCTATCTTAGTTTGGAAAGGACTGCCATCCTCATAATCGTTTTTATCCTCTTTATCTCTAAGAAAGAAGGTAAGGGATCTTTTTCTCGCACCATAAACTATCTTAACAAGGATTAGATGATATTTTGAACGCGATTCTACTGGTTGTGACAAAAAATTTCAGCATTTGAGAAAATCAAGGTTGCTTATGCGAAGTTGTATTTGAATTCCCCAGTGGCCCAAAATGCATCATCGGTCTTTCACGCCCCCTCTCCAACACCGAACACCACCCAAATACAAAAGGTAGGGAAAATGTACATCTTGATTTGATATGGGCTCCAGTGAGAGAGGTATCGTGCACTTCAACTTCAATCTATACAGGTACAAGTATTTAAACAATTTTTAAATCGATGGTATCCATCAAGCCTAATATCTCTTGTCTTCCTCCAACTGATGGTGCTTTCAAACATAGTTTCCTATCATGTACATTCCAAAAGGTTCAGCTGTGGCTGGGAAATAACCTGCCTTCTCTTATGTAAGAGTGGAAAAGAATAATAAAAACTCTGTAGTAGCAGAGCACACTCAGCATGAAACTACACTGAAGGATATTCTCAAAATTGTTTTCTGCCTATGCACGTAAAACTGTACTCGTGCAAAATCAGGTAGCAAAAAAGCAAGCCTAAAATAAG